TGAGGGAATTTTTTCAATTGGCACAAATGTCCACTTGGTCTAAAGATGAACTGAATACATTTTTAACTTACATTTCTAATAAGTTAATAAAAAACGCCCATCACTCTGTCTCCTGTGCAGCCCTTGGTCTCTCTGATCACTGCATGGCCCATCTCATCCTAGCCCATAGGCAGAAACGTAAAGCTGCAAAGCCTGTGGTCAAAACAGTGACGAGATGGACCGAGCAGGCAGTCAGAGCTACAGGCCTGCTTTGATTGCACAGACTGGAGTGTATGATGTCACTGACACTGTGCCATCATACATCAGCTTTTGTGAAGACATGTGTGTGCCTAACAAGACCTTCTACACATACAAGCCCCCCATACTCAGCAACACTGTATCCGCAGTAGAGTCCTTCAAGTTCCTGGGATCAAGAGTCTCCCAGGACATTAAGTGAGTGTCCAGCATCAGCACCATCACCAAGAATGTACTTCCTGCATCAGCTCAGGAAGTTCAACTGCCCCAAGAGCTGCTGATACAGTTCTACAGAGGAATCACTGAGTCTGTTCTCTGCTCATTCATCACTGTCCTGTTTGGTTCAGCAACCAAACAGGACAGGAACAGACTCCAGAGGACAGTCAGGACTGTGGAAAGCATCATTTGTACCAGCCTGACTTCTATGAAGGACCTGTAGGACAGAGAAGATTTCTGCAGACCCCTCACACCCTGGACACAAACAGTTTGAACTCCTCCCCTCTGGATGGTGCCAAAGGTCACTGTACGCCAAGACAACCAGACAACCAGACACAAGGACAGTTTTTCTCCCCCGGCTGTCACTGAACACTTAACCCATGACGGTACAACAGAACGACAACCTTCAGAGCAATACCTTGAAAATATACCATTGTACAGTATATATCTAAGTACTTTTTTAAAATTTTCCTAATGCACATTCTTTTTCTTTCCTTGTTCTCTCAGTCTTATCTTGTTTACGCCTGACCAATAAAGCCGATTCTGATTCCAATAAAATGTTCAATATTTTCTTCATTTCCATTTTATTTACATGCAATATTTATACACACTATGTATTGGAAGGGTTGTACAGAGTTGCAGTTTAACAGTTCTGATAAACCAGTCTCTCAGTTGTGTGCGACAGCATCAAGAAATGACTCAGAGGTGCATTTATAGCCTATAGAAATAATTTGCCAGTATTGACTGTGCACACATGCTCTGGAAATGTACAAACAAATGGGATCACTCCTTCCTTTCAACACAACGTCTGTCCATGCCTGTCACAGTCTCCTGATTACAGCTGAGCAGTTGCTGGGCTCAGCATCCTTTGTCCTCACTGCTACTGTCCAGGTCTGTCTTTTCAATGTATTTTTCTGGAACCTATAAATGTTACTAATTCTATGTGCTTTTACAGCTAATGTTTTGATACAGACATACAGTAGGTTATGATACAGTACATTAGAGCACCATGAAACATCATCAGACCAAAGAACTTTCTTCCACTTGACCATGGAGTCTCCCACATGCGTTTTGATGAACTCTAGTCAAGATTTAATATGAGTTTTCTTCAACAGTGACTTTCTCTTTGCCGCTCTCCCATAAACTTTGACTGGTGAAGAACCCGGGCAACAGTCGTATGCAGAGTCTCTCCCATCTCAGCTGTTGAAGCCTGTAACTCCTTCAGAGTATTCATTGGTGTCTTGGTGACCTCTCTCACTAGTCTCCTTCTTGCACGGTCACTCAGTTTGTGAGGATGGCCTGACCTAGGCAGATTTAGACATGTGCCATATTCCTTCCATTTCTTGATGGATTTAACTGAACTCCAGGGGATGTTCAGTGCCTTAGAAATGTTGTTGTATATCCATCTGTAATCATCTGACTATTGTTTAGTATTAATATTGTTTAGTATTAACTGAGCTATGTGAAAAAATAAATGGGGTACTCTTGTCCTACTACTTGACCTTTCAGTAACTATTTCTCTGAGTGACTGGACCTTCCAGACACAGGTGTCTTTATACTACAATCACTTGAGACACATTCACTGCACTCTGGTGATCCCCATTTCACTAACTGTGAGACTACTAGCACTAATTGGCTGGACCTCTGTTGAGTTAGGTCAGTCATTTTAAAGGAGGTGAATATTTATGTAATCTTTTATTTCCCATTACATATTTTTATTTAATTGTCTGATAATGATTCACATGCATCCTTATAATACATTCACTGTTGATGGCCCAGAATGGAAAGAACCTCCGGGCGCAAGCTGCAGTATTTCACTAACCTGCCCTGACTCAGTTTGATATGTGAAAGCATGTATGCACATATCAGTGTGTGTGTTTGTGAGATGTTTTAGCAACAAGGTGCTGGTTATGCATGACAACAAAAGTATGTGCAGCCAGGTTCAAAGGGTTCAGATTGTATCACATGCTACCAGCTTCCACTCCTCCTCTGCACATTATCGGTGTGCTGTGTGTGGTTTTGTATGTATATGTGTGTGAGTTCAGAGGGGAAACTGTGGTGCTGTCCTCCCAGATGAAGCAGACAGACAGTGAAGAGAGCAAATCTGTTTCTGCTGACTGGCAAAAATCTCTGTTAGCTTGGTCTGGGGCCAGTGCAACAATGAAAACTTGGTCATTGGTATAAGTAATGAAAACACTGTCTCTCGCTCTGTCTTTGTTCATATTTCATTGACCTCCAGTTTGTTCCTTCTCTCTTTCTCCAGCACTAAAAGAATTTCTCTTTCTTGACAACTCTTCTCTCTTTTATGTACCATTACTCCTATTTTTTCTAAATCTGTAATACATGTACAGTATATTTAGCTTCTCCAGAGCACTACATATGAGACATCATGTCCTGTTAAATCTAGACAAAGACATGGTGCTCCAATTAAAATGTGTCTTGTGCTCCAAAGCGACTGTAGGTTAAATGCTGTGTGTGTCTCATGGGGCTGTAAAATGGTTTATGGGATACGTGTCAACTGCTCAATGATTACATCTCTACACACTGGGTTAGCTTAGTACAGAAATGGCATAGAGATGAATGGCTTATATACAGTGCCTTGCGAAAGTATTCAGCCCCCTTGAACTTTGCGACCTATTGCCACATTTCAGGCTTCAAACATAAAGATATAAAACTGTAATTTTTTGTGAAGAATCAACAACAAGTGGGACACAATCATGAAGTGGAACGAAATTTATTGGATATTTCAAACTTTTTTAACAAATAAAAAACTGAAAAATTGGCCGTGCAAAATTATTCAGCCCCCTTAAGTTAATACTTGGTAGCGCCACCTTTTGCTGCGATTACAGCTGTAAGTCACTTGGGGTATGTCTCTATCAGTTTTGCACATCGAGAGACTGAAATTTTTGCCCATGCCTCCTTGCAAAACAGCTCGAGCTCAGTGAGGTTGGATGGAGAGCATTTGTGAACAGCAGTTTTCAGTTCTTTCCACAGATTCTCGAGTGGATTCAGGTCTGGACTTTGACTTGGCCATTCTAACACCTGGATATGTTTATTTGTGAACCATTCCATTGTAGATTTTGCTTTATGTTTTGGATCATTGTCTTGTTGGAAGACAAATCTCCATCCCAGTCTCAGGTCTTTTGCAGACTCCATCAGGTTTCCTTCCAGAATGGTCCTGTATTTGGCTCCATCCATCTTCCCATCAATTTTAACCATCTTCCCTGTCCCTGCTGAAGAAAAGCAGGCCCAAACCAGGATGCTGCCACCACCATGTTTGACAATGGGGATGGTGTGTTCAGGGTGATGAGCTGTGTTGCTTTTACGCCAAACATAACGTTTTGCATTGTTGCCAAAAAGTTCGATTTTGGTTTCATCTGACCAGAGCACCTTCTTCCACATGTTTGGTGCGTCTCCCAGGTGGCTTGTGGCAAACTTTAAACAACACTTTTTATGGATATCTTTAAGAAATGGCTTTCTTCTTGCCACTCTTCCATAAAGGCCAGATTTGTGCAGTATACGACTGATTGTTGTCCTATGGACAGAGTCTCCCACCTCAGCTGTAGATCTCTGCAGTTCATCCAGAGTGATCATGGGCCTCTTGGCTGCATCTCTGATCAGTCTTCTCCTTGTATGAGCTGAAAGTTTAGAGGGACGGCCAGGTCTTGGTAGATTTGCAGTGGTCTGATACTCCTTCCATTTCAATATTATCACTTGCACAGTGCTCCTTGAGATGTTTAAAGCTTGGGAAATCTTTTTGTATCCAAATCCGGCTTTAAACTTCTCCACAACAGTATCTCGGACCTGCCTGGTGTGTTCCTTGTTCTTCATGATGCTCTCTGCGCTTTAAACAGACCTCTGAGACTATCACAGTGCAGGTGCATTTATACGGAGACTTGATTACACACAGGTGGATTCTATTTATCATCATTAGTCATTTAGGTCAACATTGGATCATTCAGAGATCCTCACTGAACTTCTGGAGAGAGTTTGCTGCACTGAAAGTAAAGGGGCTGAATAATTTTGCACGCCCAATTATTCAGTTTTTTATTTGTTAAAAAAGTTTGAAATATCCAATAAATTTCGTTCCACTTCATGATTGTGTCCCACTTGTTGTTGATTCTTCACAAAAAATTACAGTTTTATATCTTTATGTTTGAAGCCTGAAATGTGGCAAAAGGTCGCAAAGTTCAAGGGGGCCGAATACTTTCGCAAGGCACTGTATAAGCCAAACGGTGCTCAGAATAACACGGTAATTCATAGAGTAGCTGAAAATTCCATTACGTTATCCATGAGTCCGCAGTGAGACTTCAGAGGAATGTTATGTATATGTTGCAAGAATTTTGTCATTTGTCAAAACATGTATTACTAAGACAACCGATAATTGTGCATGACATCTAAATACAACTTTGTCTACTAGTATTAAGATATGTGTGTCCCCATTAGCTGTATGCTGTAGCCCACCCCAAAGACCTAATTCAAACTCCATCTCCAGCCTCAGTGCAGATGAAGTAAATCACCTGAAACATTAAGTGTGTTTTTATTGTTTTCATTCCTTTTTGTCAAGATTTTGCTAACAAATAAAAAACAAATTTAGCTTCATTCAATAAAATCACTGTGCAATTACAACCCCATGATGTGTCAGTGTGCACAGGCAACTTTTACACAGCTGGTCTGGTTTCTTTCACTACAATAATATGGTAAATGGACCGTACCTATATAGCGCTTTTCTGCCATGCCTGGTGCTTTACAGATTCACCCATTCAACTATTCACACACTCACACACCGATGGCGGCGAAGCGGCCATGCAAGGCACTGGCCTGGCCACCGGGAGCAACTTGGGGTTCAGTGTCTTGTCCAAGGACACTTCGACATGTGGACCGGGGAGAATGGAGATCGAACCACCGACCCTGCGATCAGGGGCCGACCTGCTCTACCCCCGCACCAAAACGGCCCCAGAGTTTTTCATAGGTTTGCAAACACCTGCACAGTGAAGCAAGTGATCAGGGATAAAGTAACAAAGGAATGTCAACCTTGTTGTCTTTTCAGTAGTGGCACAGTATTTTTTTTGTTTTTGGTAAATCAGCCTCACCTGTGCCATTGGTGTCGACCATGAGACCCTGGTTGACATGGTCCTGGATGAGCAGAAGAGTTTGCTCAAAAATCTCTCCAGCACGCGCCTGCTCCACTGTGTATGGGTCACGTGGATACCGGAAGAGAGTTAGCAACTCTGCTGGGGTACGAGGCTGACTGGAAGGATGAGGGATAGGAAGACAGGGTGTTAAAGTACAACAAAAGAAACAGTGATGAAGGAGAAGGGACAATAAATATAAGGTTGTGTAGAGAAACACTATACAGACGTGGACAAAATTGTTGGTACCCTTCCGTTAAACAAGAGAAACTCACAATGGTTACTGAAATAGAGTGAAACTGACAAAAGTAATAATAACTGAAAATTAACTAATGAAAATCAGTCATTGCTTTTAAATTGTGGTTCAACAGAAGCATTTTAAAAAAGAAACTAATGAAACTGGCCTGGACAAAAATGATGGTACCCCTAGAAAGGATTGAAAATAATTTGACCATAGAGACATGTTAAACTAAACTGTGTCCTCTAATTAGCATCACAGGTGTTTTCAAACCTGTAATCAGTCAGTCTGCCTATTTAGAGGGTGAAAAGTAGTCACTGTGCTGTTTGGTATCATGGTGTGTACCACACTGAACATGGACCACAGAAAGCTAAGGAGAGAGTTGTCTCAGGAGATTAGAAAGAAAATTATAGACAAACATGTTAAAGGTA